TTTGGTGTTTTGGAAATTGAGCATAAAGTGTGAAGAGAATAATGGGGCTAAAATAAGCCAGGAGGGAACCGGTGAGTGGACCATTCATTCATACTACTGTAAATGACTGATTTATCTCTTAACCAAACTTCATGTACTTCATTTTATCAATCTATACTCTACCAAAAAGAATACTATTTCTGACAAATCTGATCTCATAATTTGATTTTCAATGCAAGATGAGATAACACACCATCAATTATATCTTCTAATCTAGATTGTTTTATTAATCATCTTGTTAAACATTATTCAAGACCATTAGCTTTCCTTCCTTCAGGCTACCTAAAATATTTTTACATAGTCCTTGATGATGCGTGGTCTAGATTTTGTATTTGTCAGTTGTAATTTGTAATTACACATGCTTACTATGGTAAAATCTCTGGCAAATACCCTCTTAAATAATTTTTACTTGGAGTGTCTGGATTTATTTCACAGTGATAGAGATTAATAAGACTATGTTTTTGAACACACAAGAGCATATGTTATTTTTCAGTTTATAAAAAATGTGTTTGGCCCTTATAACTCTCAACAATATGGGCAGAGCAGAATGTGATTTTATTTTACTGATGAAAAATTGGATCCCTGGCCCTTGCCTTCCTCTCTGGGCTCATGCCACTCCACTCCTACTTGTTTACCATGTTTGGCTGACCTTTCAGTTCCTCAGATGTGACAATCTTCATCTCTCCCCAGAGCCTTCAGAATAACAATTTCTTTTTCTTTATACCTTCCCTTTCTCCTAACACATTGAACTCACCTGTACTTATAGATGTGAATAGTCCCCTAAAATGATTACCTTGGGAAGCCATATACTTATTTCTTGACACTACTCTTGCAGTCTTGTACAAACAATTTTGTGACTTTCCTTTAAAACCCATTCATAAGCCATATCAGAAAATCCATTTTGTTAGCTTGTATTCACATTTTTGTTTTGACCTAAAGTGGTAGTGTAATACTGAAAAATCTCACTCTGCTAGGCTTTGAATGACACTTGCCTGCTTCTGGAAATTAAATCCATCTTTAATGAAAAAAGAGGGACAGCTTTTGACCATCTTCAAGGAAAGGAACCATATATTCTAAAGGTGATTGATTGAAATGTGAGTCCCTGAAACATCTTAGGCAAAGGCAATGTTGTTGAAATAGGTGTCTGTTCTTCTAACGTGGCTCATTTGAATGTTTGCATTAGCTTATTAGAAAAGCAGTGACAGTATTTTAAAGTCACATCAAATAAACTCATTGCTCAGATGACATAAAAAGACTTAATTTTACTCAAACATATAATCTATAACCAAACTGCCTGCTCTTAAAACATGCACACACATACACACACACACACACACACACACAAAAGCAGCTATGCTGGTGAGATCTGAGTTTGACTACGAAACTCAGTGACTTCACAATTGAATCACTTAGATTACCATATCTGGCTTTCATTAGCTACAAAATAAATATGTGGTAATAATTCCTTAGCCACTGAATCTCTGCAGACAAATCAGGAAGAGAGAATATATCTACTTCTTGGGGAAATTTCACTTTTGGACTGTAAAGGATATTTTTGTTCCAACTTGTGCTACTAACAGATAGAAAAGAAATCAAAGTGGAGTGATACTGAAAAAATTCGTTTAATTTTGCCTTTATTTAGGTGATTTATATCTTCCTAATTTCAGTAAATCAATACAAACAGAAGATTTTTATATTTTATTATTTTTATATAGGTGATAGAAACAACAAAAAAACAATGTGAAACAATCGTTCAACAGGAATATTCAGTGAGCAACATTACTGAAACAGGGTGAACATGATTCAGTTTATCCAAGTTAACTTCAGTGTCTGAGACATGGAACTATCAGCAGAACTTATGCTCCCGCTTTTCATCTCTTGTATAGTTCATGTTTCCCCTAAATTTGTTTGTAGTATCTTACACACTGCAGACTTTCTGTGAAGAGTGAGAGTCTTCACTGTAACTGTGACTGAAGCTCTTAGGATAAGGTTGTTCCAGAAAAGGGTTTTTTTTCAGGAAAATGTTCCAGGAGGAAAGGCATTTGTTTCTAAAGTCATCTGGTTATTAACTAATGTCTTGAAACCTTAAAATTAACAGTCATTTTGACTAATTTCATTCTAGCAAGTGTCTAATTAAACCTTGGCAAGATCACTGGCTTTTTACTATTCACTGCAGCAACCTCCACGTGTTAACTATACACACACATGCTCACAAATACATTTCTTTTCCTCCATTTAAATACTTTAAACTTATATTAGTTTGGGAAATAATCAATATTGTTCATCTCTATGAGATTTATTTGGTCTTACTTTTTCCAGAGTTCTAAGTAGCAGTAGGCTTCAGTTTTCCATGAAAACTCCCACAAATTATTAGTTCAAATGACTGACTTTGGCACATCATTCATGTGTCATATAATGGGGAAGGGAAATCCTTAAAGAAAATGCATGCAAATAATTCAGGAAAACATATCAAACTTGATGTAGATTCTTTATGTCTTCCTTCATGTCAGTGGAGAACATAATCTATAGCTATATGTATATTTATATCTGTAAAGCTATGAGAAACTAACTTGTTCACAGGCATAATCTAAGGGGTTGCTTGAAGGTATATAAAGAATGCTAGTATGGATGTAGATGATCTTGCTTTTAAGTTTTGGCCAACTGCTGAATTGTTATATTGCACAAAATAATTAATTTAATTCTTTTGTGTGTTAATTTCTTTATTGGCTAAATTTGTCATAACCACTCTATAGGTTATTTGTTACCAAGACTCATATAAGAAATACAAACATATGTTGATGATTGTTACTGCTTCTGGGTATGTAAAAAAATCAGATAGGAAATTCTCAATTAAGAATAAATGAGTAAATTGAGTATTTGAGTAAAATATTTTCAAAATGTATAGGTTCTAGAGTGACTTTATTTATCATTACATTATAAACACATTTTTTTCTGGCCCTTAATTCATGTAACTAAAGGAAAACATAGGCATTTTAAATAAACAAAAATAGAAACATATTTTTAAAATCAATGTTACGATTTTTAAAATAGATTCAAAAGTTCCATGTGCCTGAATCCGAAAAACTTTTGTAAAACTAATCAAACAACCTTCTAAGAAAGGATTTCTTGGCAGGAGTCAAGATTTTTCCAGAACCCTTTTTATGGAGGGATTTCATTGGAGGCTTTTTTAAGGGTAGAAATCTTTGGGGAGTGTGTAGAGCTCTTGCTATCTCCACATGCTCATTGCAGTAATACTTGTTGCTTCCTGCTGACAAATGGATGAGTGTGCGTTCTGCCAGATCCATGCACTGAGCATGGACCCAGTGCCCATCCCCATGAGAACAGTAGATCATGGCAGGTTTGTTGAGCTCGGTTGAATAAAACGGTACCCAAGTGTTGATATCCACATCACAAGTAGGGCAGCACGTAATCCAGTAGCCTGTCTCAGACTCATCTTCCTCATCATCTTCATTATAGGTGTCAAATTCATCATCACCATCAAAACTATTTGCTTCTGCACTGAAACAAAATTCTTCGGAATCTTCAAAGGGAGTGGAGTCCCCTGGATCTTCTGTTGATGTCTGACTGTTTGTGAATGTTGTCTGCTCTTCATTCATATCATCTTCAGCACATTTCAATGTATAGAAATAGAATGCTTCTGAAACAACTTGTTTATTGTCTCCTGGTATGCCAAGAAAAACAGTTCCATTTCCCATGTTGCTTCCAAACCATATCTTGCTGTGCTTAATGTCTGGGGTCCAATCTGGAGTCTCCATCTCACGAATTTCTATCTTGTTTTCCTCTAAAGAGATGATGTTGCAGATCATTCTTTTTTGATTTTCAAGCTGATATCCACCAACAATAACAAATTCATCATTGTTAGTTTGAGTAAGGATTGCACTGGAGACAGAGATTCCTCCTGGCAAGACTGTGCAATTCACAGCTGGGCTACCCAGGGGAAGATCAACCCTTATCCTGTACAGGTTGGCAGGGCGGATATTATTGGCAAGTGAATGCCCTCCTAAAATATAGATGGTGTCATTTTTGGCAATAGAGACATGAAAAGATAGCCCATCCTGAAGTTCTGGAAGAATGTATGATGTAGCACACCCGAATTCAAAATCCACCAGGAAAACATGGGGTAGGCAGTCAGCTACACTATTCCATTTTTCTGTGGTTCTGTGGGTAAAAGGCATGTATGAGCGTCCTCCAAAAAGAACACCCATACTTTTCCCTCGGCTATATACCACATTAATGGAATGACCATATCTGGCTTCAGGAACATCTCCTACCAAGTCTTTCTCCGTGCAGCGAAAAGTAACCTTCTTGTTGTTCTTGGAAACAACAGACATGACATAAATCTTATCTGAAAGCTCATTGTTTGGTGTTTTCCCTCCATGGATGATGTATTGATGCTTTTCAGACTCCAAGCTGCCTTTGAATGTGCAAGTTGCTGGGTAGCGAAGAGGCGGGAGGTAGCAGGAATCTTTAGAGAAAATTGTAGGCTTCAATTTGATATGGTTATGGTTTACCTCCAAATGGAAAACTCCAGTAGGGCAGGATCTCTTGGGCCAGCCTTTTTGGCCAAAGAAGAAAACCTGCCCATCAAAATTCATCAGCGAGAAGCCTGGTTGAATTAAGGCTATGTTATTACTGACTGTTACCATCTGCAGTGACATATTTTCTGATGGTACGTAGATTTTTGTCTGAAAGAATTATAAAATAAAATGACTTAGAGATCACTTCAAATAAATAACCGTATTTAAATTCCTTCACATGTAAATAGCATTTTTTAAGTCCTCCCACACGCTTGCAGTGTGACTGAAAGAGCAAAATCCAGGGAGTTAGGTCAGTAAAGAGCCACAGAACCTTTCCTGCCTATACCATCCAAGGATCTGGGACATGTTGTAGCCACGGACTATTCTCCCTAGGATTTCCGGGAGTTGTAGTTCTTTTCCTTAAAGAGTCACCACGCGTCAGCGGGAAGAACCACATTTCCCAGGAATCCTTTCTCTATGGGTTGCGTGGCTTTGGAAATCTGTCTTTGTTGCTCTGGGAGAGGGGACTCCTGGATGTGTCTCTGAATAAAGACTAGCCGAAGGTGCGAAGTGACTAGATGGGAGTCAAGGCGGAAAACTAGGGAATGGGAGGTGAGAGTGGCTGACACCGACCCAACATACGGGTTGCGGGAAGGCTGCAGCGCCCGGAGTGGTGTCGGGCAAACCTCTACCCTGTTATTGCTGGAGCCACTCCTGGGGACTTTTGAACAGGTGACCCCGTAGGAAGCACAACTGCTTCCGTTGAAGTGCAGTTGCCTGGAGACCGCAGTTTGAAGGGACTCCCGGCAGAAGTGTCGTTAGGGTGTCCTGCCTGTCTGGACGCTTTGGAGCGCGACTCAAAATCGCACCCCCGAGGACCCTGGAGGTGCTGGGGCGGGAGGTTGAAGGGGACACCAGGGTTACAAAAGCCGTAACTGTCTTACAGTACCGAAAGATGGGTCTCTGAATCCCTAGAGTGCAGGGGAGACCTTGCCTGTTAGTGATTTTTACCACTTCTACCATTAGCAATTGAAATATAGTTACTAGCTTTTAGTGAGTGCATGTTAAAGGCCCTTTGTTTTCTTCACTATTTTTACTGCTGTTTTTAGGGTTCTCTTAAGGAAGCAGAGACTATTTTTACTGCTGCTTTTAGGGTTCTTTTAGGGAAGCATAGAAGGTTCTTAAACACATCTCATTTTCATCTTCATTCCAGGGAAATACAGTTAGTGGCTTTTTCACATATTTCCAGTCCAAGAACTTTTAGGTAATTCTTTAATAATTCTGTAGTAAGCAGGGACTAAGCAGAGAGATGTTTGAATTATTCAGGATTTCATATTTGTGTTACAACTAAAAGAATATTTACTAGATGAAGTAATCTTGATAAATTTCTATTTTATTATTGTTTACCTTAGAGAGATGTGAAATGCACTCCCTGTTTGCAGTGTAAAGTCCTGTACAAAAAATGTTAAAGGAAACAAAACAGTACAGATTCCTTGACTCTTCAGAGTTACTTCTTAATATGCTTCAAAAGCACTACAAATAATGGCTAAGAGTATGGACTCTGAAAGCTTACTGGCTGGATTCAGATCCTGGCTCTGCCACTAACTATATGATTTTGGGCAAGTTATTTAATCTCTGTGTGCCTCCGTTTCCTCATCTGAAAACTGATGATTTACCAACCTCATATATGGGTGTAAGTTATGATTAATAATTTCATATATGTAAAATACTTAGAACAAGGATTTATACACAGTACATAGAAGTTATTATTATGATTATTTTAAAATTTACCAAAAATAAGATCTAGTGCATAACCACCTGCCAGTAACGGGAGCTGATAAGGTTGGAGAGGATGAGAAGGGGGCTTTAGGACCTGGGAATCAGGTCAGTGGGTATAGATAGATAAACTTTTGAACTGAAAAGAATTGGATAAACATATATGATGAGGGTGCTGGTTGTAGTTAATTTATTAACAGAAGACATTTAATATTTTATTCTTGTCACCCTTTCTCTAACCTTCATTAAATATGCAGGCCCTAAATTGAATTCTCGGAGTCCAAATTGGGCTCTAACATTTAGTTGCTGTGTAACCATGTTGGACAAGTTATTTTTCTCTCTGTTCTTTTTATCTACAAGATGGGGATAATCTTAGCATCTATGCACTGTTTGTTTTGAGAAATAAATGAGATAGCACATGTAAATCTCATGGAACAGTGCATGGCACATAAACAATAAATGTTAGTTAATACTGTAATTTATCCAATATATCTTTATTCTTCCTGCAAAGATTCCTTGGACTATTTAGAATCTCTGGTCATGCTAATGAGATGTTGGTGGGTTTTTGTTTTTTGCTTTAAAGAATTTCTGTAGTTCAGCTGTAATTAATTGCTTAATAATCTTTTGTACTTATTATTTTTAGTTCACTTGGGAGACTCCTAAAGGGGTGATTTTTAAACAGTTATCTGGTGGGTGATTAAAGCAGGTGAGGAAATGGTGTCTGAGAAGGATTATTGTCAAAGTTATGAAAGCAATGTACATTCAGTTGTACCCTCAGTTGTACATTCAGCAACCTGCCCAGCTTATAAAATAATCTGGGCAGTGTTTTATTGATTCATGGCCTACCCAAGCCCAGAGTGAAGGCATCTGAGCAACTAAAAAATGCTATTCATAGAAACTAAAAGGAGACATTATTGAACCTCACTTCAGAAAACTATAGGTGATTACACTCAGTCTGAGAGATTAGGATCAGACAATTGTCCCATTTTGGGGGAGCCAAACACCGAAGCCAAGGCCTGCTTGTTTCAAACACCTGTGATGGCAGTTACTGAGATACACAGCAAGCCATACAGAGGTAATGGATTCTAGATCCAAAGGGATTTTTCAAGAACACTGGCTTTTAAAACAAAGCTTTTCTTGTCACCCCTTGGTTTCATTTTAAGGTTGCTGTAGGAATTTTGGCTTCTCATAAGTGAAAACATGATTATTGTAGATTACATAGAAACATTTTCTTGGGCAAGTCGTAAGGAGGGCTGTCCATTTTTGTAGCTTAATCTAGGCCCCTAAAGATTTTTGAAATCGAGCATTTGACCTGTTTTCCCTTCGATGCTCTGCTTTTGGCTCACTTCGTTATTTCAAGGCCCTAAAGACAGTGATAAAATTTCTTATTGCTAAGAAGAATTACCTCCTCTTGTAACACAGTTCAAGTGTGAGTAATTAAATTTTAGATTATACACCTTAACCAGATGATGTATGCATTTAAAGAATAAACAGGATCATTGAAAGTGTTTTTATATTATTTTGCCATGTTTAGTTTTTGAAATTTTGCTTTATTGACTTGAATATGTTTTTCACTGGAGTAGATTATTGTATCTCTTCCATGGTTTCAATATGAGTGTATTAGTCACACCTTGGTTTTTAAAAGGAGTTTTTAAATGGTTATACTTTATCTAAAATAACCTACTGAAGTCTTTTACTTTTAATAGGCTACATAAAAACAGGCAGATTTTTAAAAGTGAGACCCTGTTCTTCGGCTGAAGGAGGTTTCAAGGTCAACACATTAAAGACTTTTTGTAAAGGACAGAAATATAGGACCAATAAACATAATACAATTTTTCCTAACCCCATGCTAACATTCTTCAGCAGGGAGATTTTCATTTATTCACTGTGATGCTAGGGCATAGTTGAGAATAATGAAAGGACTCATAGAATGAGGTCTGGGTTTATAGTTCTCCATATCTAAACTGACTTTCTTTTCCAAAGAAAGATACTGTACTCTGAAGCATTAAATCTAGCTGATCTGTGCTAGCCATAGTTTCCTGATTGCTGCAGAGTAACCGGTAACCTCATGTAACTTTAGGCATTTAGTGTGTGAATAACACTATCTTGACACAGTTAATTAGGTTTGAGGCATACACTATTTTATTTTTGCTGGCAGTAAAACTAGGATTAAGTCTTCCTTCCTATACTTAGGCCAGAGAATGATTTATACACTAACAATAGTGCTCTAAAGGCCTAAGAATTAAGTCCCTGAAGTAGCCAGAGACCAGATAGCCCCACATTTTCCAGATTTTACTCATCCCTTCTCTATCTAGACACCCAATCCACCTGTAACTAACACATTGCCAAAGTGTGGCATCTTCATTCCTTTAAAGTTTACAAACATAGGCTCCCATTTTTTAGCTTTGGTAGAAATGAAGGTATCAGACCTACCTGAAGGCCAGAGGGGCTGCTCACACCTCTCTGAATCTTTGCTGCTAAACCACCTTTTAATTGTCAGCACTTGGGGAAGATTCACTGACTGTCCACTGTGACTGTGGCAAGCAGAAGGCTGACTGTAAAGAGAGTGTGTATGTGTGCCTGCAGATGTTCTCATGAACACTGATCTAATGGGAGTAACTGACTGTGACCTTTTTTTTTCTCTCTCTTTAGATGGTTGAGGGAGATATCCACCAGGGTATACCCTCAGGATTTAACTCTTTCACTACTAGCAACAATGGCAACACAATTCACTGTTTATAAAGATAAAAAGAAATCTGGTTGAAACTTGATTTTTAAAAATTAAAAACATTTTAGAAAAACACAGAAGAAATACATATAGTTTCTATGGTTTAAATAAATACTATTTTGAATCAAATGAGAAATTATTTGTCCTAAAACAAGAGACCACAAATACCAATGCTATTCATTTTAACTTAGAAGTGCTCTTCTGTGGTCTCATTTCCTTTAATGCAAGGCTCAGAAGGAAGGAGTTGTAATTATTCAAGGCCCTCTACCAACTTTATACCAGACAGCTACTGTGTAATAATACAGTGTAATGATTTAAAAAATGGACTTTGGGGTCAAGCTCACCGGGTTTTCTCTGCCAGCTCTGCTATTTTTCAGATAGAGTAATCTTAATCCTTAAGCCTCTGTTTCACTATCTCTGAAATGAGGATAATAGAAAGAATTACTCAAAAAGTTGTTGGTAAAAGATTAAATTAGATAATATATATAAAGTATTCAGCCAAGGAAAAGATTAATATTCCATAGTAATCTTGATCACAAAAACTACCTTTATAATTTATTTCCTTTCCCTCTTTCTTTTCTTCCTTTCTTTCTCTCTCTCTCTTCTTTCTTTCTTCCCTCCCCTTCCCTTCCCTTTCCTTCCCTCTTTCTTTTTTTTGATGGAGTCTTGCTCTGTCTTCCAGGCTGGAATGCAATGGCACAATCTTGGCTCACTGCAACCTCTGCTTCCCAGGTTCAAGCTATTCTCCTACCTCAGCCTCCTGAATAGCTGGGATTATAGGCACATGTCACCACACCCAGCTAGATTTTGTATTTTTAGTAGAGATGGGGTTTTGCCATGTTGGCCAGGTTGGTCTCAAACTCCTGACCTTGGGTGATCTGTCTGTCTTGGCCTTCCAAAGTGCTGGGATTACAGGCGTAAGCCACTTCGCCCAGCCTATAATTTCTAATAGTAGCATAATATGATGTTAAGTAAATGTAACGTAATTTACCTAACCTTCCATTATTGTTGGTCATTTGATCAGTTTCTATATTTAGATGATAAAATGTAGTGATCAGA